TTAAGCATACATGCACTAGTTAAGAGAACTGGAAAATATTTGAAATATATGGAGCAAAAACTAATAAAACTGAAAAGAGAAATAGACAAATCTGCTTAGTTCAAAACTTTAACACTCCTTTCTCAATGATACAGAGAACATCTAAAAGGAAAAGTCAGTAAGTTTCAGAAGAATGCAAAAATGTCTTCAAACAGTAGGATCATTTGTATAGCATACTTGCTCTAACATAACAGAACACTCCGTCTTTTCAAGTGCCCATCTCCAGGACCAAAACAGACTTTATTCTGGATTATAATAGAAACATTAATACATTTTAAAGAATTCAGGTCATAGAGAGCTTGCCTTCTGAACACAGCAAAACTTATTTAAACTTATTTCTAGTAAAACTAGAAATAAGAGAAAAGCAACAGGACAGTGACCAAATACTTGGAAAGGAAGCAACACACTTTTGAAGAGTCCATGAATCAAAGAGGAAGTGTCAAGGGGAAATAAAAAAATACAACGAACTGAATGAGAATGGAGCATAAATTAACACAAAGTAGCACAGAGAAGGAAATTTGTAGCCCCAAATACAGACAATAAAAAAGAGGAAGTGTCTCTCAAATCAATGTAAATTTTTATCTCAAGAACCTAGAAAAGTAACAACTAAATAAATTCAGTGCAAAAAGAAGGAAAAATCTTCACACCTAAATTTGAAAACTTAGATCAAGTGCACTAATTCCTTGAAAAACACAAACTACCAAAATTCACCCAATATGAAATAGATTATTTGAGTAGCTTTATAGCTGCCAAAGAAATTGAATTATTAATTAAAAAAAATCTCTTCCCCAAATTCTTATGTGCAGATGGCTTCACTGGAGAAGTCTACCAATTTTTAAAGAAAAACTAACAGTAATTTTCCAGTAATAGCAGAGGAAGGAATACTTTTCATTTTTTGAAAATAGTATTAATCTGATACCAAAAACTAGACAAAAGCAATATAAAGACAGAAACCACAGACCAATATCCCTCAGGAATATGGATGCAACAACTTTTAATAAAATATTGGCAAATAAAATATAGCAATACATGAAAAGAATTATACAACATAATTAAGTGGAGTTTATTTGAGGAATACAAGACTGGCTTAATGCTCAAAATCAATCAGTGTAACCCACTGTAATGTAGTAGGCTAAATGGTGAATGATTGAATGCTTTCCTTCTAGAATTGCCAATACATAAGGATGCCCGTTGTCACCATTCGTATTAATCACAGTGATGGGAGTCCTTGCCAGTGTAATAAGGCAAGAAAAGGAAAAGGTCTACCGATTGGAAAGAACGAAAGAAAACTATTTTAAGATGATTTTCTAAGAGGTCTTAGAAAATTTCAAGAAATCTACCAAACTATTCCAAGAATTGATAAGTAAGTCCACCAACGTCGCAGGATAGAATATACGCAAGATAAACATACAAAAATAAATTGTATTTTGGTACACTAGCAATAAGCACATGGGAAAATAGGCAAAAGAAAGTTATGGTCCAGCATGTTTTTTGACTTCCCACCAAACAGCCTCTTATTCCCAAGACTTTATAATTAAGTCCAGAACAAAATTTCATCGTGCATTATATCTCTTATATTTATGGTACATAGTTCTCAGACTATTTCCCTTAAATAGTTTCTTTGTCATTTGAAAATACTTTATTCCCCTGAGCTCCAGGAATTTACAATGGATGTGTTGCTGTCATTTGTCTATTTTGCTTTTCTATACTTTTCTCCTTGAGGATAGAAATTGTCACCTAAATATCTTTTTCATACCTTAGAATTGCCTCTCCTTTTTTTTTTTTTTTTTTTTTTTTTTTTTTTTTTTTTTTTTTGTTTTGGACTTACTCAACATTACTAATGTTTTCATGTTCTCAGTATTTTTAGAAATAAAAGTATTGTTGTTTTTGTTTTTTGTCTTAGTCTTCTAGACCATAATCACTAACATCTCTAGAGATTTTTATGATTTTCGTTCACCCATGATCCTGCTCAGGCAAAGACTAATTCAGTCCACATCTGGTCATTGTAAAACCCTATCATTCCTGCCTCCATCATAATTTTTAATTTATCCTACAATCGTCTCCATTCTCACTGCTTACATGAAGCCATAGATTTAGCCTTTTAGTTCATCAGTGTTTAGCTGGCATATACTGCATACTTAATAATATTATTGGGTAATGAATAAATTAACGAACAATGGATGCCACTTCCCAAGTGTAGCCACTATAATAATAAATTACCCCCAAAGGCCCATCCTGCTGTCCTACTTCAACCCAAATGTGGTCAAATATCTTACATGATCAATTTTATTTATTTATTATTTTATTTATTTATTTATTTATTCATTTATTTATTTATTATTTTTACATCAAGACTTTTTGTTTCCTTCATGAATGCCAAGTTCATGAGTATTCTTGGCTCTTCAAAATGTAGTCCTAACCCATTTTTAAATCTAATTTCCAAATAACTTTTTTCACGTTTTATGTTTTTCTTTCCCCCAAGGTTAAAATCTCACTGTTCACCCTCCCCTCTTATTAACTTCATTCACATATTTTCCCTCTAGCTGAAATGCACTGTCCCCTTGCCCACATGCTCATGTACATAAATACTCCCATAGCCAAATGCCATCTTTATTCAAGGCCTAGCACAAGTACCATTTAAATTGTAAGTTCTTCCCTGATTACTCCCTTTTCTACTCCATTTCCCTAGAAATAATTGTTTTTCCTTGAAATCCCATGCCATTGTGTGTATGCTCTTATGACACACAACATATGGGCTTGTAGCATACTTATTTTTGCACAAATCCTCTCTCCCTTACTATACTGCAGACTCCTTAAGAAGAGAAACCCAGGAATATTTATCATTGTAGTCTTCCCTAGGACTAGCTGACATATAGCAGGTGCTCAATAACCATTTAAAAATAAATCATTGCTTTTACGTCTTCAGGACATCTAATTTGGTCTCTTGTTTGTATCCAAATTTTTCTTGGCACAGCAGTTTCTGTCACAATGGTCAAGTCTTTGAAATTGTTTTATAATTTCCCACCAAATAACAGAGTTCAGAGAATCTGAAAGGAACGTTCACTAGAGGAGAAAAACATAATGATTCTTAGACACACACTAGAAAGGTCTTTTGAGAATATAGGATCTAGTGCTAATGACGCTCATATGAGTTTGCTAGCACAGAAGTCACAAACACCACAGGCTAGGTGGCTTTACGACAGAAATTTATTTCTCAGAGTTCTGGAGGCTGGAAGTCCCGGATTAAGGTGCTGACAGAATTGGTTTCTCTTGAGGTCTCTCTCCTTGGTTTTCCTCTTCACACGAACTTGTCACTGGGTGTCTGGACCCTAATCTACACTTCTCAGAAGGACACCAGTCACTGGGTGAGGCCCCATCTCCATGACCACATTTTAAGTTAATTACTTAAAATTTTTTTTAAGTTTATTTATTTATTTTTAGAGATAGAGAGAGAGAGAGCGTGAGCGAGCCATGAGCTGGGGAGGGGCTGAGAGAGAAGGAGAGTGAGTCCCAAGCAGGTTCCACACCATCAGCACGGAGCCCGACATGGGGCTCAAACCTACAAACCGTGAGATCATCACCTGAGTCAAAACCAAGAGGCGGGTGCTTAACCAACTGAGCCACCCAGGTGCCCCATTAAGTTAATTACTTCCTTAAGGATTTTGTCTCCAAATACAGTCACATTCTGAGGTATTGGGGGTTAGAGCTCCAACATATGACTTTTGGGGGACACTGTTCAGCCCATAGCAGTGCAGCTGCAACTTTCCTAAGTCATTCAGTGCTCTTGGACTTAGCCTCTTCTTTTGGAAAACTATATTATTTTCATCCTTTCTAAAATTCCTCTTAATTAAGCATCTTTAATTTCTCTGTGGACCATTACTCTTTTGTAATGCGTTCTCTAGAATGTATCGTGGCGAACGTCACCATCATTTAGGGGCCTTGTGAAACCTGGCACTTCGCAGTCTTGCATTTTTCTCTCTTCCCTCCCCCCAGGCCCACCAGCGAGCTCCACCTGCCCGGTGGCGTTTCCCACTCTCACTTCTCCCTTTCCCAGCTGAGCCCATGTGGATCTCCTCTGCCCTCACTGGTTTGCCTTCATAATGTCCTTACAGTGATCACTGATTCTTCCCCCATTGTCTAGAGACTGTAGTATCTAAATTAATTCATCAGACTCTTAAGGTCCTGATTTTTTTGGCTGCCTTGACTCCCTCAACACTCCCCCTGTGCCTTTTACCCTTCCACAGCAATTTATATTCCCGAGATACTGACCTGTTTGTGGTCCCCATGCTTTGGTCAGACGTTTTCCCTTTTGTCTGAAATGCCTTTTCCCTGCTCGTTCTGAATGATTTTGTCACATGTCCGCTTACAGCTCAAATGCTTTTCCCCACATGAGGCCTCCCTTATTCCCTGAGGGAGAACCGAGGGAGGGTTGCCATCTGCTTTCCCTCTGATGTACGTACCCTCATTATCTAACTGTGACTTCTTGACCCGCCGTTCTACCAAATCTTAAGCTCCGGGACACCCTGGATTGTTTTATCTTTGAAATCTAATAAACATTTGTTCAAGGAATGCTGTTTGTGATCACCTGAGTGCAAGAAAATAAACTCTTGACTTGTTGAATTAAGATGAATGACTACCGAGAAGATTTCTCTCAAATATCTAATTTCACTCATTTGATTCTAATCCTATTCTTTTGTAACTTACCCGTGTCGGATATCAGATCCATCTTCAATATTTTGCCACATCTAGGGAATTATTAGCTTCGACCTGGGATGACTGAGCTTCAGTAAGTTTGGGGTAAAAAAAAAAAAAAAGTTAAGAAAAATTATGTTGGCTTTGAAGTTTCTTTTGCCCTCTAGGTGTGTGCTCACACGATAGAGCATTTCATCACACCGTGTTAGTTATCTGCTTTGTTGCCACTGTTTCAATTCCCACTTCCTTTCCTTCGCCTCCTCTGTCAGATAAACAAGCTGGAGGCACGCCTCAGGCAGGCGGGATGCACGGATGATGAAGGGATTCAGAGGAGAGACCAGGAACACTGGATGAAAGACGCCTGCATTCGCTGTACGTGTAAGGTACGCGTTGCCAGAAGTTTCTCCATCTTCCTCCTCCTGTTTTACTCCTGCTAGCCTGCCACTTGAGACGTAGCTGAAGAATTCAAGAGAGGGACTACGGTCTCTCTCGTGAGTAGATTTGAGGCCTATTTTCAAGGTCAAGCTACTGATGTGAGTTCTTGAGGTTTCTGGTTATCGATGTAACTACGGCCGCTCCCTAAGGAGCACTTGTTGGACACCATGTGGGCTTTTCCCATGTTCACTGATGATTGAGGGAGCTGATGCTCCGGGTGTTTAGTGGGCTTTTCCCAAGGTCACACGGGTAGACAGAGGCAGAAATGGGGCTTGAGTTCATCTCCTTGTTCTCCAGTCAGGCTCGCGATGGTGGTGTTGCCTGAAAGCACTTGGTTAGGTGTTAAAACATGTCTCCTGGGATCCACCAGAAGGGAGCAGCTCAGTGTTTCTCGAGTTGAGTTTTTGCACAGAGCTGATGCCGATCGCTGCGGCCTCTCCCCACAATGAAAACCCACGAGCTTCCTCGTGTACGTCACACCCCGCGCCCTACGGTTTGGGAGGTAGCATTTTATAAGCCAGAACTTCCAGCCTCGCCTTTCGTGCTGCACGTTTAGGAATAAGGCATCAGGCAGGGTTACGTGTAAAAATGAGCTCATACCGTGGGTAAGTTTTTGTGACATTGAGAGAGCCAATCAGAGTGCGTGTCAGCAGAAACTTTTAAAAAGGTCACTCCACGGTCAGAAACATGGACATAAGCTTTGAATGTTGCCTTTCAGAGTGGCCAGGTCACCTGCGTGGTGGAGACTTGTCCCCTGGCTGCGTGCCCCCGTCTGGAGTCGGTGAAAGGAACCTGCTGTCCGGTTTGCGGAGACCCGGCCGATTCCCCGGAGAAACGCTAACCAGTGTCATCGCTCTTGAGCCCCGAGTGGGGGAATTTCTCGGGAAAAGACAGGCACGTCGGACTTCAGTACTTTTCACCCGGAGTCACACTCCAGGCGCAGAAGTCACTGACAAAGTAGTTCATTTAACTCTCCGACACACGGGAGATCTTTTGTCTTTCCATCTTCTAATGTACCGTAAAGTAATGCAAAAATTCAAATCTATAAAGTACATAGGAATTATTTTATTGTAAGAAGGATTTCGTATTGAAAGCTACCAGTTTTATTTGCCGTACATGGAAATGAATATCATGCGGCATTGTTTTGTTTTTTGTTTTTTGTTTTTTTTTTTTTTAGACCTGAGGATTGTGAAAAAGCTCGCATGTCAAAATTCAGAGAGATTTTATGATCTCCAGGAATTTTGAGAGAATGCGTTTTGCACTCAGAGAAATCATCTGGAAAGATTTTTGCGATAGCTTCGGCACAACGTGTGATGTTGCTTTCCTCATTGTGCTCTGTCTTTTGCGTCTAGAACCTAGATAATGGCCAGATTTTGCTGGAAACGCACTTCCCTTAACCGTCACTAGGCTCTAACTTGTAGAACATTAGGGGGAAGTCAGGGAAAGTATAATTTGGGGGAGCTTGCTATGTTGTACATTTGGCTGGGAAATACAAACACTGTGAAGGGAACGAGGCTTCAAAGGAGCATGGCACAATACCTGCCTTTCCCTTGTGCCATTCTTGTCACGTGTGAGGTGTCGAAATTGAAATTCTCCAAGTGTGAGCAACTTGGGAACAACTCAAATCTGAATTTACTGTCAGAAAAATGGGAAATGCCTGCAGCTTAAACGAAAGTTCGTGCTATGAGGTTTCTTCTAATTTTGGCACTCTGTATAGCATCTCAAATACAACCCAATAAAAAAATAAAAATTAAAAAATACAGCCCAATAGAGAACAGGTTTAGCTATACTCAGAATTGGATGTTTAGTAAGTTAGGTGAGTTTCTTATAATCAATGCTTTTAAAATATTGTGCACCCACATGTAGGGGTTGGTTACAGTTGTTGGTAGATTTCTTTAAGAAATTCTTTGTTCTAGAACCTTCGAGGAGAGACTTCATGTAGTGTCCTGCTCAGCGAGGCTCTTAGGGTGATAACTCTACTGATACCCAGTTGCAAAATAGACATTTAACAACAGGCATCATCTCCCAGTATTTAGAAGCATTGCGTAAAGTGCAGGACACCTTTTAGTCAAAATATCCTCATGGTTTTAGTATTATGAGTGAAGAAAGATGTTTTTGGAGTTCGATGATGCACATCATTATTTTAAAAATGTGCTGGTGATCCCCTCCCAAGATCCCAAATAACTTCTACGAAAAAGTTTACGGGCAAAACGTAGTATGTCCTAAAGGTTTGACATTTGATGCCTTTTGAAATCCAAAATAATTTCTACTTAACGTTTCGAAAGGCAAAACGTAGCAGGTCCCAAAAGCTTGACATTTGGTGGCCTTTCAAAACCCAACAAAGTGAAATGAAGCCAAACCTCATGGAAGTGTAATTTGTTCCTCTGAAACAACCACAGCAAGCGTATTGCAAATGACAGTAACACAGCTAAGAGTTGAGTCATGTTCATTTGTCATTGTATCCTTTTCTTCAAGTTGAAGCAAGACCTGCATGGTATCTCGTGTTATTTTTTATACCCTGGCCACATGTTAACATGGATGCCACCTGGTCAATGTTTGGTTCATTAACCATAAGCAAATATCAAAATAACAGCATCAAATTATCATTTAAAATGGAACACGGGAATTTTAAAGCTTGTCCGTCAGTCGACAATTGGAAAATATTCAGTCCCCCTTACAGATATGGTTATAATGCAGATTACCTTTCTTCTTTCTTCATTTTACTGCATTTCATTTATTTCACTATGTTTTTTAAATGTTTCATTTTTAAAAGTTCATATTGCACACAATAAAAATTTCAAATATTTCCCAAGGATATATAAACCTTTGTATTCCATTCCTGCGGTCCAAATGCGAATACTGTTTTCAGTTTTGTATGTGTGTGTGCGTGTGTCTTTGTGTGTGTGTATTCTTCTATATGTTTTCTAGGCCACACAAGTGTGATGACACAAGTGTTTCTTCCTTAGTGATTTTGTTTATCCCAGGGAACCATAAAACACTGAGAATCCAAGCGTATTCGTTACCAGTATTTGACATGTTATATTCTGCCATGGAATCTGCTGGAGGTAAAATTTAATGTTTCTTACGTGCGACGCCTCTCTCATCTGGGAGAAAGGAGGGATCCACAGGAGGGGTTTGCAAAGAAGATGAAAGCGTTCTTGGGCTTCGTCTTTTCCTGACGTCCTCTGCTAAAGAAAAGCAGTTTTTTAGCCACGTTGTACGATTGCTTGAAAAGGTAGGAAAATTTCTCCTCTCTTTCAGGGGCTCTTTAATGTCTACTCTTTCTCTCCTCTGTGTATAAGTGGTCCCCCTGCACATGGAGCTACACACCATGTAGTTGAAGGGGTGTAGACCGTTTTTATTTGAGATTGGCATTTAAAAATAGAGCATTTAGGGGCGCCTGGGTGGCGCAGTCGGTTAAGCGTCCGACTTCAGCCAGGTCACGATCTCGCGGTCCGTGAGTTCGAGCCCCGCGTCAGGCTCTGGGCTGATGGCTCAGAGCCTGGAGCCTGTTTCCGATTCTGTGTCTCCCTCTCTCTCTGCCCCTCCCCCGTTCACGCTCTGTCTCTCTCTGTCCCAAAAATAAATAAACGTTGAAAAAAAAAATTTAAAAATAGAGCATTTACCTGACAAGCAGTCTTTAACACTCACACACGGCAAATAACAATGTTTAAGAATGAGTCCTTATATTGACCTATTACGATCGTGTGGTCAGATCATGTGATCAGTTTGTTAAGGAGGCAGAGGTAGGAAGATTTGTTGGGCATTTGGGTAAGCAGTTTTGCATTTTTTAGCTTAATTGTGAACTGATGTTAATATAGACTTACTGGACTGTAATTGAACTGCAGTTCCTTCAGACATGCCTTGCCCAATGTCATGTGTAATGCATTTTTATTTGAAAATAAAATATGGTTTATTAGTAAATTAAATCAAGTTCATGGATAGCTCACACAGAAATCTTATCTTCCATTTTAGGAAAGAGGCACTTTATTAAGAGCCGTATTTGGTTGAGCGTCCTCAACATTTATTGGCATGATAGAGTTTGTAAAAAGCAACGTAAAACCGATTTGTTCCTCGTGGGTATGCAAAACGAGGGATGGTGTACTAAACATATGTAGTGCTAACATTTCTATCGTAAATATAACTCTATATGCTATGTTTTTAGCCCTTGTATTAGATAATTTGCAGACTTTTGTTTCAAGCATCAGAAATGAATCCGTTTAAATTTGCATCTCAAACATAAACTAGAGGTATAGAATATAGTATATTTCTCCAAATTATGAAACTCATTTTGTGTTCTAAATATACTTTGTAAAACAAGTGAGGAGAATTTCTTTAAGCTTAATTATTAACAGAAATATGTTATATATATATATATATAAAACATCTACCTGGCATATATATATATATATATATATATATATATATATATATATAAATATGTGGTACTATTATATACATAACAATATTATGACATATATATAATATAGATTATATGTAAGTAAACATTAAAATAGTATTCTCTTCTCTTATATCTTGCTACCAAATATTGGTGTACGTTTGGAATCTGTGTGTGTGACAATAATCTAATGTGAAGAATTTTTACTTGTTTTTTTATCTTTGGAAGGGGTATATACTATCTAATTATTTATTCATTATTTATCTAGCTACCCATCATCCATAATTTGGTCAATGGGCTCGAGAATACTCTTAATTTCATGTGTGTGAATATATCTTCAAATAGTAGGAATAAAGGAAGATCATTTAAGGAAGGATCTCTGACTCAAAATTTAAAATATATTGTATGTTTCTATTTCTATGTATCACATTATTGAATAAAAATCAGTTGTTTACTTAAAATACAAAAAATGTACATTAGTATAATGTATGAATATTATAAACTAACACAAATTCATAGTGTCATTTTTTTTTTTGTAAATTTTTTTTTCAACGTTTTTATTTATTTTTGGGACAGAGAGAGACAGAGCATGAACGGGGGAGGGGCAGAGAGAGAGGGAGACACAGAATCGGAAACAGGCTCCAGGCTCTGAGCCATCAGCCCAGAGCCTGACGCGGGGCTCGAACTCACGGACCGCGAGATCGTGACCTGGCTGAAGTCGGAAATGTCATTTTTTTTTTTAAGAACAAAACTGTTTCTCTAAAAGGTGAAGAGATTCATTTAAATCATTCCAATTTTTTCCTCCTGTGGAATAATTACTTAGGAACCTTTTATTTAAAATTAAATTAAATTAAATTGAAAATTTAAAAATGTATTTATTTAAATTTAAGTCAGTTCACATGCAGTGTAGTATTGGCTTCAGGAGCAAAACCCACTGATACATCACTTACCTACAACACCCAGTGTCCATCCCAACAAATACCTTCCCCGATGCCCCCATCACCCACCCACCTAGCCCATCTCCCCACCAGCAGTCCCCAGTCTGCTCTCTGTTTTCAAGAGGCTTTTATGGTTTGCCTTCCTCTCTGATTTTATCTTATTTTTCCTTCCCTTCCCCTGTGTTCATCTGTTTTCTTGCTTAAATTCCACATATGAGTGAAATCATATATTTGTCTTTCTCTGAATGACTTATTTCACTTACCATAATACACTCTAGTTCCAGCTACATTGTTACAAATGGCAAAATTTCGTTCTTTTTGATCATCCAGTAGTATTCTATTGTGTGTGTGTGTGTGTGTGTATATATATGTCATGTATATATATATATATGTATATATATGTCATGTATATATATATATATGTCATGTGTGTGTATATATATATATATATATACACCATGTATATACCATATCTTCTTTATCCATTCATTGGTTGATGGACAT